GCTACTTAATAAGTTTTACTCACTCCATGTTTATCATTTTTTTTCAAGTAACTAAGATTTGGTCATGGATGAGAGCGGACTTTGGAGTGTGGGCCATGGACTAACCTCTGTTTTTAATCTAGTATTTTTTTTCTTCTTTTGAGCCTGCTTCTTAGTTTGTGTTTGTAACGAGTATGTATATGTAACACCAAAAAATGAAGGAAATTAACTCCCATAAGAATAAGCCACTCATAAAAGACCCAAAGGATAGAAAGGAAAAAAAATTAAAGGATTAAGCAAGAACAAGGGACTTAGTCAACTGAGTACCTAACAAGTGATTTTAGGGCAAAAAAGTCATTTTATCAATTATCAAAAATCTTTCCAAATTTGTAATTCCTTATCTATAAGGAATGCAAGATTCAAAATAAGGGGAAAATGATCAAAAAAGCGATGAGGAATTTGTAGAAAAATTATGGATTTTTCGAGAAAAATAATAATAAAATATTTCAAAAGTGGCAAATTACCAAAATACCCCTGGAATAATGGACAATTATAGAAATGCCGCACGGATCATCACATCCAACGACTAGTATTCAAAGCCAAGGTCGGTAAGGCTATGATCGGAGTTGATATCTCCAAAAAATTATCCAGAAAGTTCGATCTCTAAATAAAGAAGATTCTAGAGCTCTCAATGTCGGTTTAAGCTCCTCCTACAAATATTAAAGTAGGAGCAACAACACGGAATAAGAATCAAGAAAGATCGATCCCCCAATCGAAGGCAATAAGCGTTTAGATTATGGGTCTCCTACTCTAAAATTTCTTCCAAATTCGAGAGCAATCCTCCACCATTTCTCTTTAAACTTCTAAATAGCGTCTCTCTTATAAGGTTTAAGCTCCTCCTATAAAGTCTGAAGTAGGAGCAACAATACGGAATAAGAATCGAGAAAGGTCGATTACCTACTCGAAGGCAATAAGCGTTTAGATTATGGGTCTCCTACTCTCAGATTTCTTCCAAATTCGAGAGCAATCCTCCACTATTTCTCTTCAAACTCTATCAAATGGTTTTGGTTGTTGTAAAAACAATAGTAAAAAAATTTAACATGATAACTGCAAATAAATGAAATCCAAAGAAAACAAAAATAATTTTAGTGGTAGAATTATGTTCCTTAGACTTTATTGCCCTAGTATACCAAGTAATGGGAAAGTATATATGGGATGCCTTAAAGAAAGTAATCGTGTATGTTTTTATATCTAGAATTTTCATGATTGTCATATGTATGAAGTGACAGGTCTGCAACTCGAGACACATTACAAAATAGAAAAAGTAGTATATTATATTAAAAAGATAATGTTTCTAAATATTTGAGTTCATAATTATACAAATATTATCATAATAAGATCAATGAGGGGAATACACCAATTTTTGGGCAACCAAGTCAACACAAAGAAATTAGAAAAGAAATATGAAAACTTGAGTCGTGAAAAGTGTAAATTGGAAAGAATCTTAGTGGCCGAGGACAACGTAGTGTTATGAAAACTAGCTAGATTAAATCTTCAAATATTAATGTAAATTTTGTGAAAATTGAGAGAAACCTTTTGAGCATGTTTGCAATGGCTTAGACATACAGCAACAACGTGATGCTTCAAATACTCTTTCTTATGATTACATACTAATGGTTCATGAGGTCAGAAGTCTTTCTTTAATGTTAAGGATATTTAATCCTAAATTATAACTTATCATATATATCATATTTGATCTTTTATTATAGTATATTTGTCTTCTAGTACAGCTCACCATAGGTATCATGTTTGCCTTTTGTTACAGGCTCTTTTCATTTATTGTTATTTCCCTATCCTTTATAATTTATTTGATTATTTAAGAACTTCATTTAGGTGTGGTGGTTTCAGCAAATACATAGAGATTATAAAACGTAGGGTAGTGTGGTTACCAACAATGTGAAGTTAACATGACAATAATAATAGATTCTAAAACAAAAAAACATGTGGATAAACTTCAAATATTGAGGCGCATAAAAGATATGGACCAGCAACTAATAATGATAGATCCACTACAAGGCATTTGGTCTAGTGGTATGATTCTCGCTTCGGGTGCGAGAGGTCTCGAGTTTGATTCTCAAAATGCCCCCAACAATTATATCAAATTGAAGCATGCAATATAATAAGATTTGAAATAGGTTTTTCAAACCTTGAACCAAGAAGTAATTCAAATGGATATTTAGAAAGAAAAAAAAAACTATATTTAATTATAATTTTCAAGTGTCTTTACAACATGTTAATTGAAGAGAGCAAACAACAAGAATAAACAAACAAAAGAAAATTTGTGTATGTATGATTCTCTTCAAATCTTGGAACTATGAGGATTTCTCTCCTTTCTTGACATCAAGACTTACTTTTTCGGGACTTGGACCATAAACAGTCATCTACTCTTACTCCTACTCCTTTCTCTAAGAATCAACATAGCATAATCATTCCACGAAGGCCAAGGTAGTCTTATAAAAAAAGATGAGGGTACCACTTTCAAATCATTCCATTAGGACTTCCACTTTCTATTGCAGAATTTTTATGTGAATAGAGAATGAACCATATTCTTGGGAGATAAGATAGAGCCTCGAGCCTAACTTCAAAGGCATTACACAAATTGTTCTATGATATTTTTTCTAGGAACTGTTTGTTATGTTGTCCGCTGAAGGTTTTAGGAAAGGGACACAGATTCTCTATTGCACTAATCTCTCAATAGAAGTTTTACCTAGGTCATCTGTCATCACAATTCTTTTAAGGAAGATGCGCCCAAATAACCGGTGAACAATAACATTTAAAGAAGTTTCAGAGAGCGAGAAGAGGATTGTGATAGAAGTTGCTCTAGGTAAAACTTCTTTAAATGTCTTAGTCAATCATGACTTCATAATGAGGAGTCTCTTGGACAACAATAACATATGGACAACAAATGTCTTAGCCAATTGTGATGGTCATGATTTCTCAAGGCGTGTCGCCTAAATAACCGGTAAACAATAACATTGCCAAAATAACCGCCTTAGACAATAAATCGTTTACAAGAATGGCTGAGACATGCAACATGCAACCATAGGAAACACGCCTTAGGCAATCATGACTATGACATCTGCCCCCACACAATTTATTGGATGAGGCTGAATTTAGGTCTCTCAATACGCTTCTAGCTGATCTCATAATGAGGAGTCTCTTCCAACCTACTAGGTGCTATTGAAAACCACTTCTCGGTTTGTTGAGTCTTCATGTCTTCTCTGTTCCTGTCTTTCCTACTTTCTTCGCTTGAAACTTTTTCTTATTTGTATGACGTCATACCACCTTCTTCTACTTGATGTCTTCTTGGTCGAAATAATAACGTTTCAAGTTTCTAACGTGGACAACAAGGTTAGTCCGCATCCATAAGAGCAATTGGATTCTATATGATGTCTTCATAATCTTATGGATAACTTTAACTAGTTCATAATATTTTCACACCAGTCTTTGGTTTTTGTTGCTTTGAACTCGAAGTTGATCTGACCTTAATTTATATGAACTCTTTATTTTTCTTGAAATTATTGTGGTTGGCGCTTCCAACTGACCCTTCTCTTCATCCGTCTAGATGGTATTTATGTGTGAACATGTGTTGCTTCAGTGGTTTATTTTTTTTCTCTCTTATTCAGTATCTGACCTTGTTTTTGTCTCTCCTGGTGGGGATAAATCCATTATCTGACCTTGTTTTGCGTCGTGGTGTTTATGTAGTGGCAACAAGGTTTCTATTGAGGTTGGCTCACTCGAGCTCCCCTTTTCAATTACAACAATAGCAGCAAGCATAGATTCATCATGGCTATAATTCTTTCTCAACTGTAGTATCGACATCTTTTTCAACTCTCTTTGTTGATGGATGTTTTTTTGAATGATCGTCGGGTTAGACTCTGTTACTACTAGACATTTTGCTAGGGGCATGTAAATGACTTTGTGTTTCAGCAGGACGTTCATTCCTGACACGACGTCGAAGTCATCCATTTCAACTATCACTAAACAATTTGCCTAGTCCAAGGCTCCAGCTTGATTAAAGTGTTGGATTTGTATAGCAACCCTAGAGAGGGGGTGAATAGGGTTTTAACCATAAAAGTGTCTAAACTTGATTAATTTTTCTAATGATGAAACTTTTTTTTACAAATAAGTAGAAGATGATAATTACAAGAACAAAACAATTCAAGTCAAAACAATAATCAAGTAGAACATGCAATAAATCACAATAATAGTTTTGAAATTAAATAGAAAAGAATTAGAGAAAATGACACCGTCGTTTTAGAGTTGTTCGGTCAAACTCAACCTACTCCACTCTCCAAGCGCCTCTTGGGAATTTGAATAAAGAACTTTCTCGACTCTTTCCACGGATCAGAGTCAAACCGCTACACCGCGGCGAAAATTCAGTCAATTCCTTGAGAGCTGCTCCTTCCCTTCCTTGGTAAAGCAGCTTCGATTCCCTCTTTTTACGAGTTCAAGAGCAAACTCAATTCTTTCCACGACGCAGGATCAAACCGATACAAATATTTGAGTTTGAAAGTAACACACCACAACTCTCTGAAAGAGTAGATTTACAATTTGGAACACTCACAACTATTTTCTAACAATACAATAATAATCCCTCTCAACAATAAGATGAAGAGAAATAAACTTGTAAGCTTGGAGAGAGCAACAAACAATGGAGACTTTGAACAAATGAGGATTGGAGAATTTATGGAAGTTATGTGTTTAAAATGTGGGGAAGTTGATGAGTTTATATAGAGAAGAAAAGTGGAAAAATGGAGGAATTAATATTGACCATTGGATTGTGTTGGAATAATGGAAGGTGGAGATTAAAAATAAATAAATAAGAAAATTTTCCAAATTCATTTATTTAAAATTTTTAATATAATAATAATAAAAACTATGTGAGTAACTACCAAAATTTTAAAATATAGTAATTTAATAACATAATATAGTAATAGTAAAAATTGATGTAACGGTTAGATTCAAATTTATATTTTGGAAAAATAATTTTATTTAGAAATATAATAATAAGAAAAACTCCACCATTTGTTACTCTTCCAAAATTATAAATGTCATACTTTGATATATTTTGATTTGTCAATCATTTTAATTTTGCTGCCACATCATCACGTCGGGTATATTGTCTCGACTGTAATTTCTTCGTTTTAGCTCTGATTTGAGTAATTGAAAAGTCGTTTAAGCTCTAAATAATGAAGAATCTGGAGCTCTCAATGTCGGTTTAAGTTCCTCCTATAAAGTCTGAAGTATGAGCAACAATACGAAATAAGAATTGTGAAAGGTTGATCCCCCAATCGAAGGCAATAAGCGTTTAGATTATGGGTCTTTGACTCTAGGATTTCATCCAAATTCCAGAGCAATCCTCCATCATTTCTCTTCAAACTTCTAAATAACGAAGATTCTAGAGCTCTCAATGTTGGTTTAAGCTCCTCCTATAAAGTCTGAAGTAGGAGCAACAATATGGAATACGAATCGAGAAAGGTCGATCCCCCGATCGAATGCAATAACCATTTAGATTATGGGTCTCCTACTCTCAGATTTCTTCCAAATTCGAGAGCAATCCTCCATCATTTCTCTTCAAACTTATTCCTACAGTTTCTCAACAAGATTACCCACAAGTTGTATGAAGGAATAGAGTGCTGAAAGTACCCAGAAGTCATTCCCCCAATTCAATCTACCATTGAAGAACTTCAATCGAAACTTGAAAATCCAATCCGAGGATACATGATGACTCATCGAGCAAGAATGATTCCAATTAGTTTCTGCACATCCAATGAATGCTTCCATAGAAGACCACGAAGAAAAATAACCTCGAGAGCGTGCCGAATTGAAGGAAATAGGTTTCGAAATTAAATTGGGGATAAGAGTCGAATTTCTATCTATGATCTCTTTTCCTTCAAATTAAGGATTCCTCTAGCTTCAGAGGAAGAAATTGAGTAAACTTGATGAATGAATCGAGTGCTGAAACGTTGTAGAACCAGCTACTGACGAGATTGAAAATCTGGCGTTTAGAGTGAGTTGCATACCGAGAACGATTTCTGGAAATTAAGGTCCTACACTTAAAGACGTTCCTCCAATCCAATTTCTTTAGCCTGAAGAAAGGATATGGAAGTGGTTCAATGAAGAAATAGGGCCTTGAAACCCCTAGAATCGGCTACCCAATAAGAAATCATTTGTTTTATCTCTAGCGATAAATCAGATTTTGGATGAACTTTGGAAGCGAATATCTTAGGCTACGATCCACAAGAAGGTATCAAATAAATCCCTAGCCCTTTCTTGTAACATCCATCTTTAAGTTTCACGAAGAAATCGAGGAGAAAAACGCTATAAATGTGGCTGTACAGGCCGAGTTTCAGATGGTGGCGAGGCGAAAAATGCGCATCTTCTACCTGTTCAGAGGAAGAAAACGATGATACGGCCAGTTCAACTGAACTGTCCAAGTCAACTCAAAATTTGATCTTTTCTCTGGTTTTCTCAATTTTAACCCCATTTTAGACCGATTGTCAAGAAAAACATTATGGTTTCATAAACTAGATACAATAAGGAGTATGTGGAAGGAAATTTGAAGTAATTCAGATACTTGAAGCTCAAGAATGGAGGTCCCAAACGTTGACGACGAGGTAAGTAGCCCCCTTGGACTCTTTATTAAGAAATACCTGTAGAATTCATTTGGATTTTCATATGAACCCTAAACCAAGTATGAATTAAGGATATATGAAAGAAAAACCCAAAGAACCGTGAGTTAAGACCCTGAACCGATCAAATAGTTCTAGATTTAAGTAACATCAAAATAACCTACTATATGAGCTCCGCTGCCTATCATATTTTAATACTGAGTATATTATAGCATGTTGAGGTTAGATATGAAATTTGGTGGTCATTGGATAAGGATAAGTAGGTAAACCAAGAAACAATGTAAAATGACTATAATGCCCCTAAGGTAATTTACCTTCGTTTTAATGACCTAGATGACCTTCAAATGCTATGAAACACATCAGTAGATCTTATTTTATGAAATGTTGTATGAATCCTTATCTCGAGAGGTTATAAAAGGTAATGAAGTTTGGGAGTTATTCAAAACCAAGATATGGGAGAAAATGCTCATCATGATCCATATGACTTTACATTGTAGTATATAACTAAAGTGGTATCCATGAAATAATAGCTTCCCCACATGTACCCTTGGTCTCTAGTAGATACTATGTGCACAATATCATGGTGGGCTATTCCTAAGACTAAGAACTTATAAATTTGATGCCTCCTGTCTTAGGTTGTTGTTACCTTATTCTGGGATTTTACATCAAGGTGATTTCTTAAAGGTCCTATCGGGAGTTGAACCCAGGTCATTGGATTCAAAGTCCAAAGTGCTAACCACTACACCATAGAACCCCTTGTAAAATTTTGTTTTGGAATGGTTTTCCTATTTTATGTAGATTCCACAAGAAGAGAGATCCTATCACGAGTCAAACTCAAGTTATTGAATTCAAAGTTCTAGAGCTATTTTATCTAACTCGTTGTAATCTTGAGCACCTTTAGAGTGGTTGCAGAAGTAACCCTTTGTGTTGATTGAAG